ACAATGTCTACATTTTGTGTCATTTAATTCTATCTCTCATTTCCTCTTCCCCCATACCAATCTAGCTAAAACACCTTTACTGGATTTCTAATGGAGAATCAGTCTCTTAAATCAGAATCCTTAATCCAAAAAGAATTGCCAACTTGTTATAAAGAAGTGGCCATAGAATCATTATCAAGATATTTCAAGAATCCTCACATTCTGGAAGGTCTAAATGATGAGAGTTCTATAACTTCTTTTCCCAATATGAAAGAAAGATTGGTTTCAAGTTCAGATTCAACTTCTTCAACAAAATTCTCTGAGTTTTTTCCTCTTAATTTCCTTCAAAATGATCAAGGGAATAATAATAGTATTATCCCTTTGAATAATTTTCTTGAATCTTTTCATCATCATAATCAAGTGTCTGATCATCAAACATGTTCTTCACCAAATTCATTATCAAGTAATTACCCAACTTTAGGATTGTTTCTTAAGGAGCCTTCCATTTTAGAGATTTCAAAAAGAGCAGAAGAATCTCTAAACAACAAGAGCCACAAGTATGACTCTAATTCTTCTTTATTTCCATTTTCTTCACTAATTTTTCCTTTATTCCTCAATCTTTTTGGTAGTGTGTATATATTTCACTGCTATATAATGTCAAATATAAAAGGTCAGTCCGGTGCATCTAGTTCCCGCTTTGTGCGGGGTCCACCAAAGAGCCGGACCACAAGGGTCTATTGTACGCAGTCTTACCCTGCATTTTTGCACGATGCTGTTTCCACGGCTCGAGCCCATGACCTCCTAGTCACATGGCAGTAACTTTACCAGTTACGCCAAGGCTCGCCTTCATTATATCAAACAGCGTTCTGTACATATTTAACAGTCATTAACAAAAGAAGAGATTGCATAAGTTAGGTGCGATTATGATTATGATATACATTCAAATAACTTTATAACAGTCATTTTGTATAACATGTCACGATAATGACCAAGTTTTTCTGGAACTGATTTTTCATGTTATCTTATATTATGTTCTCTGTAATACCATTTCGCTATTTTGACCAAGTAAATGTCGGGACAAAAAATACTGTTATAAAGAAGTTTAACTGTATGTTCAAGCTCTCAAAATATTTGTTTTTCTTTTTGGTCAGGACATCAGCTGCCATATTCCCAATGTCTTCATTAGATGAAAGCCAAATTCATCAGCAGCAACAAGCTGCAGCTACAACAAGTACAACAAATTGGCTGAAAATGAATCAAACTTTAACAAATTGTACTACCACAAAAGGTTTTAGTGACTATTGGCTTAGTACTACAAAAACTCAGCCAATGAAATTCACAACAGGGTCAAGAAAATCATCACTTCATTATAATCAAGGTAATCAAAAGTCATCGTCATCATCTCCTTCTTCTTCTTTGATCGCGACGTCTCAAGGGAAGTTATTTAGAGGAGTAAGACAAAGACACTGGGGAAAATGGGTAGCAGAAATAAGGTTACCAAGAAACAGGACAAGAGTTTGGTTAGGTACATTTGATACAGCTGAAGAAGCTGCTATTGCTTATGATACTGCTGCTTATATTTTAAGAGGAGATTATGCACATTTGAATTTCCCACATTTAAAGAATCAGTTAAAGGCAAATTCTATAAATGGTAATACAGCAGCCCTGCTCGAGGCGAAAATTCGAGCAATTTCATCACAAACAAAGAAGGCTAATGATCATGATCAAGCTACAAAAGTAGTAGTATTGGCTACTGATGATTCAACATTGAAAATCAAGAATGTGATGAGTCAGAATCAAGAAATGGAAAATTCTGAGAAAAAGGTGAAGAATATTAATCAAGAAAGGTTATTATCAGAAAATAATATTGATGGAGTTCAATTAAGTAGAATGCCATCTTTGGATATGGACATGATTTGGGATGCACTTTTGGTTTCTGATTCATCTTGACCTTCAACAGATGTATTGTTTTTTTTTTCTCTTCATTTTGACCAACATTATATTTGAGAAGGGAAGCTTGGAGTAACAGTAAAGTTGTCTCCGTGTAATCTATAGGTTACGGGTTCGAGCTGTGGAAGTAACCATTAATGCTTGCATTACGGTAGGCTGTCTACATCACATCTCTAGGGGTGCAGCCCTTCCCGAATCCCGTATGAATACGCGACGCTTTGTGCACTGAACTACCCTTTTTATTATATTTTAAGATCAAGAGCATACTTAGGTGTTTTTTATTTTTTGGAAGATTTATATGACACTGGTTGGATTTCTGTACATGTTCAAGAGGGTGTTCAGCATCTTTTTTCATCATGTAATTTTTGTTTTTAATGATTCTATGTTTGTTTTGTGTGTGATTTATCAGACTGGTGCTTTCGGTTGTTAATGTTGGTTGTAAAAGACAGACGAATTAGGATTTAAAGTTTACGATTCCGACAATGACCTCAAATTAATATTATAATCATATTTTTATCGGTTTTATTTTATATAATACTTTTTACTTTTCAAAAGTTAATTTGACTAATTTTTGAAGTTAAATTGGATTAAATTAACTTAAATTTTATGAAAGTTAAAATTGAGATACTAAAAAATTATATGAAAAGTACTACAAGTTGCAATCATTCTTACACCACGTTCGAAAAAGATATTTTAAACTTTTTCAAGCACTATAGTTTTTTTTTAAGCAATAAAAAGAAGATTCAATTATACGAGAAAAAAAGTATACGCGTTGTTAAGAAAAAAGAGGAGGCCTCCTATTTTCAAGACAAATTTGTAACTTTCTTCATTGTTTTTTATGAGCCCGCACAAACTTATGCGTACCTCAACTAATTTCACTATTATATACTATACCTTCCACCTATACATATACCATGTAACTCTATACCATTAAGACTTTGACAAATATAAAAATATCACCTAGTATATTTTTTTGTGCCTCCGCTCGGGTTTAAACATGAGATCTCAGGTTCTCCTATACTCCATTGATCACTAGGCTTTTACTTACGAGTTTTTAAAATTTTTTTACTAATATATAGGTGGGAGGAAAAGGATGTCAATTAGAACCAATTTCGACGGAAGGGGTTCAATTATTATAAATGGTTTGCTAGGTCAGTATTTCATTAATGTACCATAATGTTTTTCACATAACATCACAAATACAAGCCTTGGTTGATGTCGTTAACCTATTTGTTACCCATTTTTCAACAAATTTCTTATTATTGTGTTCTTAGAAGTAAAAGTGAAACTACGATCGACCATCAAGGGTTGTGGTGGACGAATACGATCCTTTCACCCTTAATTCGAGGTTTTGAGTTTGAGTCCTAAAAATAAAAAATAAAAATCTGATAGGGAGCGCTTCCCCTTTAATGGACCTTACGCGACATAAATCTTAATACTTAGTCAGAATATAATTTAAAAAAAAAAATCCCTAGCCCCTATTTCTAAAAGAGGGAAAAGACTTCATGCGTTGAAAGAGAAACTAAAGTGTTTAATTTGCTGTAGGATTGTCATGAGCCATGATATTCCAACTTATAACTTATTCATCATTATCATAGTGGGCTAAATTCGTTTACTTTGGAATTTTACTTATTTAAATAAAAGTATAAAAATCGAAGTCAAATACTTATTGTTTTTTCAACCTATCTCAAGGGGTTGACTTTATCATTTTCTAATAATAGAGTGCAATTTAATTTTTTTTTTCCTTTCCTTGGTCATAAGACTTTTGACTTTTCTTGATTATAATATCACTAAGACTATTAAGGCCAAATAAATTAATTAAAATCAAATAATTTGTTATTGTTGAGTAATGGCTCTTACACTATCACTTAGCCTCGAGAGAATAGCTTTGACAACGTACAAACTTGCTGGTTAAGCTAAATAAGAAAAGTCTTTTAATTATTCAAAAGAAAATAGTTGACAAATTGTGATATATTGAAACAAAGCTTTAACTTTAATTAAATCATGTCGAAATGCACAAGCAAATGATATCAACATCAGTAGTTACTATAGTATAAACTTTTTTTTTTAAAAAAAAAAAAAGGATTGGTTGGTCGGTATTTTTATGACATAGAATAATTGATAAAATTCCAATAGAAAAGCCACGAGAATAGAAGAAAAAAAAAACATTGTTGGATTAATGGCAAAGGCGGATCCAGGATTCGACGGTTGCAGAGGCAACATTCAATATAAATTTATTACTGCTCATAAAGATTGGTACGTGAGACATTTGCAAGTACATATATAAAGTTTTTGCCGAAATTTTCAGGTGTCGGTGACCCCTCAACCTATAATCACTGCTCATAAAGATTAGTACGGGGAACATTTGCAAGTATATATAGATTTTTTTTGAAATTTTCGAATGTCGATGACCCCTCAAACCTATAAGTGTAGGTCCGCTTGGGAGACATGGGAAAAACTTTCATCATGCACATTTTTTAAACAAGTTAAGAACATAGATAAATGAGTGAAAAAATAATAATAATATAGATACATGAAACTTTGACACCAAAATCATGCCCTCAAGGTCAGAAAAANAATAATAATAATAATAATAATAATAATAATAATAATAATAATAATAATAATAATAATAATAATAATAATAATAATAATACATGAAACTTTGACACCAAAATCATGTCCACAAGGCAAGAAAAACATATTTTCATGTGTTATAACCTGTTCGTCCAAGCTTTTAAAATCAGCTTGAAAAATATATTTTTTTTAAGTGCTTTCGGTGAAAAACACTTTGGAACAACAGTGTTTCGCCAAGCTTTTAGAAACTGTTTGTCAATGTATTTTTTTTTTCAAAAGCGCTTTTGCAAAAAACCTATCTTTTTCTGCTTCTCGAAAACTACTTCTGTTTCTAGTCGAAAGCACTTTTTCCTTCCTAGAAGCTTGGCCAAACACCTTGAACTTTGTAAAAAAAAAACCACTTATTTGTTATTTAGAAAAAAATACTTTTCGCCGTGGAGAAGCTTGGCCAAACAGGCTATTAGTCTCCTATTTAACCATACATAGAGCACTTGAAGAACAAAAGACAGTTATCTTTAAAGTAAGCCCATGCCATTAACATCAAAATGGTTCATACTTCCAAATTGTGTCCCACCTATGCTAAAAACTTGACAATGGAACAACAAAATAATCACTAAGTCAAAAGGTAACTATAGTTAAGATAGGTGTTATCTCTAGGAAGTTAACTTAAGCTATGCCATGTTATATTTTCTCCACAGTTGGTAATAAAGTTTTATCTTCTAGGAAAAACAAAACTTTCTCCTTACTATGTTGAAGTTCTTGTTTATCAGCTTCTTCTTCTTCTTCTTCCTGCATTTCTTTATCCTCACATTCAACCATGTCGACTCTCTTAAGTAACTCGAATTCCTCTTCATCGCCCAATGCTTCCACGCCCACGTTGTTGGTTGCCTTTGGAGCCTTTGCATCTAAATTCGGGTTTGTGCCTTCACTGTTCTCCAAGTTGCTTTTCGCACATTTATCGGAACTTGGTCTGTACTCTGGACTCCAAGAAACGTTTCCGTTTTCACTTGGTAGTTCACTCTGCACATCAATCATATCGACATTGTGTTCAATAGGAAGTTGTTGTATTTGCAGCGGATTATTAACCACTTGCCCTGTTCTTAATCTCTCGCGATAGCCTTCCATCTCCAATCTGTATCGTTCTTTGTCTTGCAAGGCTCTCTCCTGATAAACCTGATAACCATAGGATGTTGTTAGCATGAAACAAACACGAACAAGCATACGTCTTGAAATATATAAATGAGAAAAAGGGTCATATATGACTTTGCACCGTACGAAATACCTTAATTTTACTCTCAGTTATATACTTTGGTGCCATTCATAACTAAACGTAGAGGGTCATATTAGAACCATATCCCCAAAGTATTTTGACATGTTGACTCCACTTAGTCCATGCTGGAGCTCCGTCAAAATCAAGGACGTATACGAGACAATTTGTCGACGGCAAGAGTATGAATGGCCCAAAGTACAACGGAGGGTAAAGAGATAATTCGTATAATAGAGGGGTAAATTTGGACCTTTTCCGTATATAAATTATTGAGTATATCATTTGGTTCTTACCATTTTCTCGGGTACGTTTAGGTTGTTCCACAATTCACCTATCATCCGACTAATCTCCCTATCCTTCCCAGGATAGAGAGGTTTCAGCCTGGCGTGTTGTTCTGCGAAGAAAAAGTTATAACCACTTCGGTTAGGCTTAGGATGAGCAGGATCGCGCTTCTTAATTTCACATTTCTTCCTACGCTTTCTTCGAACTACTCCAGTTGCCGTCGATGCTGCTTTCCCCGTGTTATAAACAGGTAGATTCTGATTTTGCAACTCTTGATGCATTGTGTTCATTGGAACCTGATATAGAACACCTTTAAAATCTTCAGAACCGATCTTCACTGTGATAAGATATCCACTCTCAAACTTGCCATCAATGACACCACACAATGGCGAACCTGTTGATGGTGCTGCAGTTTCTGCAAGCACAAAAGAAATATTTCGATCTTAATATTTCATTACTTCAACAACAGGAACTTCATTTCCAAAAATTTATATTTCTGAAAATAATCAAAAGCAACGAACCGCTCAAACAGAAATCCACAAAAAAGGGCCCCAATTCTGTTACCACACACCTTTAATACTTTTTAGCTTTTGCAATTAGCCTGCAGTATAAAATCTAATAACTCATGAACCAACAGGCAATAGCGCAACGCCACAAGACATGTCAAAAAAATTTACTTGTTGCTATTTGTATCATTTATATATAAAGCCTACGTCCATGGTGGAGATTATACACATTATTTGTTAGCTATAGTAGGAGCTTTATTGAACTTCCAACCCCATCGAACAGTTAAAAGCATTCTCAAGTTATTTTTACTTCAATATGAAACAGAATTATCAATATAGATGAGCACTCATCTTATCATATGAATCTGTAGATACAATTTTTTTGAGACGCTAACATTCCCACCTACCCCAACCTCCCATCCCCTGGCTCTTGCATCAATCATCTTTAGATTTGTCAGGCAGGATTATTCAAATTCGTTGACAGTTCTAGTAATTTTTGTTTCTTGTCCAGTAATTGTAACAAACTTTTTCTTCTAATTTGAAACTTTAGTTTGACTAGCACAGTGTTACTATACATTTAGAAGAAAACATTTGCTTTCTAAGTCCGCTTCATAATGGCAATGACTTTTTCTTAGAGTTGATCATATCCCTTCACTCCATACATCTCCTATACTCCACTGTCCGTACTGACGATAGTATCATAGAAACTGACTAAGAAGTTAGTCAACGCCATAACAAACGGAGTAGAATATCTATACGATATGATAGCATAAAAGGCAAGAATTTGGGAGAAGAAACAAGTATGTTGATGATGTTTACCAAATAACTAAGTCCAAAGATTTGACAACCTCACTCCCAAAATGGATTAGTTCTACTTTATTCTATCTGAAAATGGAAATTCCATACAAATAGATTTTGTTTAAAACGTACAGAAGTTTATATGTAAGAGATTTAAGCCTCACCAAATTCTTGGAACTAGCCACTATTTTCTTTCTTTTCTTTAGCTAAGGGTCTGTCGGAAACAGCCTTTCCGCCCTCCCAGGGCAGGGGTAAGGCTGCGTACATCCTACCCTCCCTTTCCCAGACCCCACTTGTGGGAATCCACTAGGTTGTTGTAGCCACTATTTTCCTTTTTCTCCTGAGGATCATCTTGATGATCTCGAAAGAGGACGTCAGAAATTTCTTTATACATGGACTACAAGGTTTCCGAAAGACATGAATGATGGACTATGAGTATGACATAAAGATTCGGAATAGCTCTTACCAACATGTTTAGGAAGCAAAGACAAAAAAGAGGAGTGAGAACAAGTGCAAGGACAAGTAGGCAACCTTCAGGAAATGTTGTTTCTATCATCTGCAACTTGGGCGTGGCAGCTTCTATTTCTGGTGATGGAAGCACATATCCGGCCAAGCCATGTGGTGGAGCTGCAGCATGTGAAACTTGCTGCAACACATCTGCAGGATATCTATGTTTTATAATTGAGATAGCCTCGACGCAACTAAGTAATTAATGCAAGAGTTTACACAAACCAGGAGAAGGGGTCCAGTGCTTCGCCTTGAAATAGTAGACTCTTTCGTAGTGATAGATCAATGAAATATAATACTTCCGGAGGATAAATGAAGCATTCGTGGCTGAAGAAGGAAAGCTAAAAACTGTTGTTACTTCTTTCCATCTTTTTCCCCCTAGAACCTGCAATTTCATTTGAAAAATCCAACTTGTAAGAAGAGCAAAACAGATACAGATTCAACAAAGATTTCAACTCAATGAATCCAAGGCGTTTATGACAAAATATAAATGAAAAGAGCACCAAAAGTTTGAACACAATGAGTTATATCAAGCTCTATTACCTTTGCGATACCACCACGAGTAGTTACCTCGACAAAGAGGCGATGCAAATCCAACGGTTTCCCCCCTATAACAGGGATCCTGAAAAATCACAACCAACAGAAGCATTAGTGAATGAACCGAGTGAACTATACAAACTTGAGTAATGATGAGAACAGAGAAGCCTATGGCATTATATTTCATGTTTGAAACATTTGATACTTAGCAAGGAAAGTCTGAAAGATTGGTAGAGTATTTTGCATAAGGAAAGCATAAAGGTTAGCAGACCGTTTAGCACTTATAAAATTCCTGATCGAGCATTTTACACTGGAAACTAGGTGAAATGCCTACTAAATGGGATGTTATGACCACTCATTGGAGCTCAGAGAAAACCCAGGGCTAACTGATCAATAGATGCAGTGGTGGAGCCAGAAATTCAAACAAGCACGACACTTAAAAATTTCTTTATACAAGGGGATTCGACAAGTTATATATACATGCCTTTTGTTTTACCTATACACAGTACAATTTTCCAGTATAGGGGGTTCAATTGAAGCCCTTCACCATAAATAGCTCCGCCACAGAATAGAAGCTCCGACGAGCTTTGCTTTGAGCAAAAAAGAATCTCTATTTAAGCATGATCAGGATGAATCAGAGAACAACTTAAAGCATATCTACCATTTTCGAGTAGGCAATATGATCACATCACACCTCAAGATTAGGCCGGAAAACAACTTAAAAAAGATATTTCCAGTTATTTTTTTATATTTAAACAACATATGGCAGGGAGGCACAGCATGTGACAGGAAAGAGAAACAGGGTTGGGGGCACCCAAGGGTGTCACCTCACCTTTAATAAAATGGGCAAAATCATGGGAAAGCAAGTTCAAACAGGGGCAAAATATGTTTGGTGATTTCTTTCAATATGCCTAAGTGGTGCAAAGTTGCTCTATAATTGTATTGGTGGAAGGTATATATACTAGTGAAATTATCCACATGCGCGCAATCTGCTCCTACATTACCATTATTTAAAAATAAATAGATACAGGCTGGGTGGGGTAAGATAGGAGAGTTTAAAGGGCAGCCCGGGTTCGGGGAAGGGCCGGACCACAAGGGTCTATTATATAGAGCCTATTTCCACGAACCGTGACGTCCTGGTCGCATGGCAACAACTTTACCAATTACGCATTGGTTCCAATAAGCCAAGAAGAAGAAGAAAAAACTCACATGAACTTGGTTCTCATAGCAGCATGGAACTTCTGCAAAGTATCCATAAAAAGTTGAGGAGAGGCCACAACATTTTCATATGAAGCCAATGGAGGTGGATATGGATGATAATTTGGGGGTGCTACTCTGAGTGGCACTGGACTATTTTCAGCAGAAGAGGATGCCATTTTCAACTTCTTTTATAACATACTTACAAAATCAACCCTCAAACTTCAATCACTCCAATGCTTGTTTTCCCAAGATTCTTCTCTATGCTGCAGATTACACAAATATAATTAAGAAAACAGCTAAAATGCCAGCAAAAGTATCAAGAAAACAACAAAAAGAGTTCAATTTTTTAATCTCATATAACCTTAAGGTCAAAATTAAACATGTGAAAGGTTTGTGATAGCAAACAGACAAAAACTAGTCAGATGAAATTTCCAGAAAATAAGACTAATGAGTCCAAAACCAGTTAAGAATAGTCATATACAATCCAATAGTAGATGCAAGAAGATCCAAAAAGATTATAAGAAACAGACAAAACCAGAAACACAAAGGGGAGGTGTGGGGTGGGGTTTGGGGGTTAGTGTAACAACAATAACAAACCAAGTGCAATCACACAAATGGGGGTGGGGTGAGGAGTTCAGTGTGTACGCAAGCCTTAGGCCACCGTGCGGAGAGTCTGTTCCGATAGACCCGACACACGAAAAGACAAGCACTAACAACAACACATAGTAAGAAAAAGAAGGGATAGGAACAAGTAATACTAAATCCAACAACAATTTGG